CACCATTAAATGCCCTGCACCACCCTGCAATTATTCATAAGTCGACTTTTCAAAATAAGCCATTACACTGGAGCTCCTAAATCGCTTAACTTATATAATAATAAATAAAACCGAATTTTAAAGAATAAGGAAAGTGTTGCACGATTTCAAGGCAGAAAGCTTTGGTTTAACCTTTCATCGTCGTGTGGGCCAACTTTTACACCGGGGGGAAATTGCATCTGTTTTCAGGTTGATAATTTTCATAGGTTACAGTTTCTTCTCTGAGTTTCAGTTTCTTCCAAAGTCGTTAATTGCGTTTCAAAATTCATTTCGCTTTTCTGGACTATTTTTTTTCGAAAAATTTTTATTACCAAATTTTAATGGAACCGTTGCTTATTTTTATAACATTTACATCATTTTATGATCATTTTTCATTTCATGAAATATGAATATTTCCATATGAAATAATATTTTATATAAATAATAACTGTGGACAATTCATGTGTGTCGACAGAGATGGATTGAATTATTTATACGTGTTTTTTTGACTCCTGTTAATCATTTATAGTATAATAGTTAATATTGAAAATTCTGCGCCTTTTTTTTTCGCGGTATGATGTCGGTGCCTATATATCGAGCAACATGCACCTGATTGTCTCAAAGAAACATTTGCTTAAATTGTGATATTTCAGCTTATATTTCTTGTGAAGATAGTTTTCTGATTCTTTGCTAAGGTATAACACTCATATTGATTTGAAAATGAGAGAAATATCTGAAGAAACACGCTACGTCATGCTTTTTTAGTATAAAGACTATAAAAACGATACACCTATCAGTCACTGAAAAGGTCGGTGAAATTTTGCAACGGATGGAGCAAGACACTAAACATCAACTACATGACAGACAGATAAAAGCTGACTGCAAAAAGAAGCTCGAAGAAGCGGAAACCTTTCAATGTGACCTAATATATAGGTTTTTTTTAGTTTAATTATTTTCTTTTCTATTTATAATTTAAAGTCACACTGCCTATAATCTTAATTTAACTGAAATTTTAACGTAAGCTACTACTTTACGTAAGCTAAATACTTTACGTAAAATCATGCAGTGAGACAGGGTAAGTAGTATAACTTAATTGCCAAGGCAAGGAACTTAGGTCTTACCTAAAAGATATTCAAAATATCTGCACTAAGAGACGAGCAGCGTCAAAATGTCTGTTTACTGAAATGACATTTTTTTTCATTATCAAGCACAGATCATGTCCACCGTTTAGAGTTGACAAAAAGCCGGATTTTATCAAACTAGGTTGCTTCAAAATTCCTGCAACAATCTGATGGTTTCTTTCTGTTGCATTCGAATTTACCTAACAGACGAACAGTCGTCTTTGGAAACTATTTATATTCATTCAATAGCATTTCCAAGCAAAAACCGGCTATGAGGTCGGAAGCGATTCGATTCGAAACTCTATAGTGTTTCTGCCAAGGAATGAGAAGTTTGTGTAGAAGTTTCTAGTATTGATTAAAGGAACCGCGTTTTTTCCTAATTGGCCTACGGAAGACCTTTTGTATTTTAACTCCTTTCATCTGGATTTTTAACATACCTTTAAAACGATATACTCTAGAGTAGTAAGTAGGACTGTTTCGAGAAGTTAACTCAAACATTTTTTGATAAAAATAGCGTGAGTTTATTTCACTTAGAAATCGGAATAAAGAAAAATAACCTACGTATTCCCTTAGCTGCAAGTGTGCAAATTAAATGATTTTTTTTGAAATTTGGACAAAGTTGGGCCTTGATCGCAGAGGCCTGGCTTCGGTTTTCATATGTTTTCGATATTTTTTCACAATAATTGTGCATTTTAAGGCATGCTTGATAACAGTTTCAAATAGTGTTATTCGATTACCTTTCATTCCATCCCAAGAAGAGGCTTTAACACTGATATTCTCCCTTAAGTTCAATCATAATCATAAGTTCAATCATACTCCTACTGGACAGGAAAATAAGAAAACTAAAGTGCTCACCACGACTTCCATATAAACGGATATGGTTGATCAATTTGCCTAATGATTGTAGATTTTATCTCAGACCTTTTATTAAATATTATATAAAAAAACGCATTGGCAAAATTAAAATCAAAAGCTTTTTATTTTTTAAGAAATGCAAATATATGTTAAATCTAAGATCATTGCAATGCATAAGCATTTGATAGAGAACGAATAAGAAAATTATATTTTTCCACTCTTCCACATTGCTTTCTTTCTGCAAATTTACTTGTTTAAGCGTGTATAGAGAACATCTCTTGAGTGAAAAGCTTCGAAAGAATCCTGATTTCAGATGAGAAATACATAATATGTGCAAGCTTTCGTAGTCGGTCTCGTTATGGCGCCATTTCAAACTTTAATGGGAGACTTAAAGACGAGCGACTTAAATCAGTTCCGAATTTTATCTATATCAAGAAGATCGACGCTTTAGGGCACCCCCTTTACGTATGTTACACATGGAAGGATAAAAAAAATAAATAAATAAATAAAGAAGCTATATTCTATTATATAAACTCACTTTCCATTTTGCAGTGTTTATTAGACTTGATAGGAATGATTTCTGCAAAAAAGCCTGGACATGGTTATATTAAATACGAAGGAAAGTTTACATCATCAACTATTATGAGCTTATAAAATTTGCGATATAATATATAATTTGCATATATAATACAATCGACGGACTGATGGACGGATCATCTAAGCTAAATCGATTCCAAGTCTCACGTTTATCAAAGCAATTGAATTGGAATTGCAAATAAAAGAGTGGAAAATGTAAAAAGGAACAAATATGAAAAAATAAGATATTATAATAGATCAAGGTAGAGAAAACAAAAATAATAATTATTATTACTATTATTATTTTAATTTTAGACTAATGAATTGAATTCTTAGACTAAAAAAAAGAGACATTGAGCACTAGCAACACAGGCTATCGGAAGTAAAGGAAAACCTTATACAACAAGCTATCTTGATTACTTTAACATCATTTACCACAAAGTTAGCGCACAACATACCTAAGCTTACACTTAATTTCAATCGAAGAAGTGCATTCATTATTTTGCAACACTGTACTTTAATCTCTCAGCGCCATCTTACGGTTATTTTCCTCACCAAATTATACGGTTTATGTCCAATCTCTTGCATAAGTAAATTTTATAAATGATTATCTTATTATTGCCACATGCAAGAAAACTAAATTCATCTAAATAAGATTCAAGAAGCATGTATAGATATAAAAAAACATCTTTTATTTATCTTTTGTAAAATGCAATAAAGACTTGGTTAAGAACAATTGATAAGAGTCTAAAGTCCCTTCTTACAGGTCAATTACGTTTAAATGGGAAACGGACGTTAAAAAGTATGTTCCATTTATACGATATTTATGCTTCGTTTGCGCGATGTTTATTTTATGATTTTTTCGGATCTTATATATGATCCAAAACCGGTATTTTCTATACACCTCAAATTGCAATTGGTATGCACTTGTTAACTTTTAAAGAAAATTATTATTTGCTATGTACTTTTTCATCATCGTTCGCTATTTACTTTTCAAAATATTAATAGAAATGAATTAATCACATTCGTTTTCAAAGAACATAACGAGCAAGAAAATTATTTTGGGTCGCACCGGAATCTTTTATCACGATTAACCTGAAAAAGACTAAAAAAAAAAAAATTTCGATGCTATTTAATACTGGAGGGGTGCGGTTGATTTGTACCTTGTAAACGTGTACTTTGAAAATTTTGAATCCTTTTCAAGGTCTCTTGCAACTTTGTGACTGTTGCGTTCATTTTTGCGAGCAGCAGAATATTTACCACAAATATTATACAGTTGGGCAGACGAACAGACAGACGTGTTTAGATGCATTCTGAATTTAAGATTGGCCAAGAAGTTATATGTTTTATGGAGTTTTTGCGTTTCTGCGTCTTCTAAAGGCATTAAAAAAAACACTATGATCTCTTGTATGTGTCCTTCCATTTCTTAGTTCAAGCAGCGTGCACGAGCTTGCAATCTTCCTGCCAAGATTGGAATTGATGGCTTCATTTTCGCGGCCGAAACAAACATTACATAGGCGGACAAATGGACGGATGCTTAATCGATTGAGAATGTAATGCTGATCAAGAATATATATGTTTTGTGAGGTTTCTGAAGTTTCCTTCTGAGCGTTGCAAACGTTTCGACAAAAAGTAAATGCATCCCTCATCCTCCGATGATGGGATAATATTAATATCTATGAAACGACGTTTGAAAGTTCCGTGAATTCGGCAGATAGAACGCTTATTACCCAACTTTCTTTTTGGTCTGTCTGGAAAAAGAATCATAGCCATAAGGTCGACCAGCTCCCCTAAGATGATTTTCTGCACAATCACTTTCACTTGGTTAACAACTTCCTTCCTGGCAGCCGTGTTAATGGTTGTGCGATAGTTTTGAGAAAAGACATCACTGTAACAAAAACTATCACCAAAACGAAAATTAAATTTCGAAATCATTTTTGGAAATTTGTCAAAATTTTTTCAAGTTTTTTCTATTTTTCTTTTGTGACTTTTTTCAATAAACGAATAAACGCAATTGTACGTTATATGCTTCATTATGGAGTTAAACGGTGGAATTATTGATGACCTGCTAGAGCAGATCAACCAAAAGTTGAATTTCTCAGCGATTGCAGCTGATTTGGAACGTATGAATGTCGCCCGCGAAAAGTTGAACTATTTACAGCAGCAATATGTGATGCAACAAATTTTCACTGGGAAAGGTAGACCATCAACCGCCAATTGTTCATTTCTCAGCTTAAACAAGAAATTGCAATCATTACAAGATGAAACAAGTGAGGCGTCATCGACACTTGACGAGAACGAGGATCTTGAAGAAATTGAGGAAGAAATGTGCAACGAATTGCAAGATGATGCTTGGTTAGGTTTTTTCAAAGGATTCAAAATACTCTGCGAGGACGATGAATTACGCATTTTCGAGAATAAACAATGCATTGAAATTTCGGATTTCGATGCTAACGCTTTGGAGAGCTTACTACGCGGCGGTGTGCGTTGTTTTATGTTTGATCTATTCAAGGGCACGGGATTCGAAAATCAGAAAAATATATTAAAATTACGCGAAAGCGAATTGAATATATCGCGGGAATCTGGTTTTCCGGTAATGGCAACGCTATTTGGTTTATTGAGTCCACGCATGCAATTTACCGGTATGCTTGAGCCTCCAGACGCTGTTATTCCGTTAGAGAAAGGTCACGCTTTAGTATTAACTTATAAACGGGAGTTTTCGATACACAGCACGGCTACTAAGATCTTCGTAAATGCCCGATTTTTAATGGACGATTGCAAAGTAAATGACTTTATACTTATCGGTCCGACAATGCAAATAAAAATAGATACGATAGTAAAGTCTGAATTATATTGCACGGTCATGGAACCGGGTGTGTTACGTTCCAGATTACCAGTCCGATTCCCGGGTAGATGTAACCGCGTTAATGTCTCACTTGAAGAACTCGAAGATATAACTTTCTCCCGGGAGGTCGGTGTACAAGTTTTGATTTCATATGCCCCGGGAAATCGTCAATATTTCGACGATCTAAATAAAACTCTCGGTTTATTGAACTGTGAAAATGTGCGCTTGGGTACACGAATCGTAATTAATGATATTAAAGAAGAAGACGATGACGATTTAGATTGGATCGCCGAGAGCTATGACGTGTTTCTCTTTGAATTAACTATGACGCAACAGTTTGATGAATGTAAAGATCGTGAAGTACCTGAGGTATCTGCCGATATTTTGCAATTATCGCCTGGTGTTGTAAATTTCATTAAAAAGATTTATGCAATGAAGAAGCCGACTATTTTGAATGCAAGCCTTGTTGCCGAACGTCGCTTATTTGTTCATCCATCTTGTTTAAATGAAATATTTTTCTATCCGGACCGCTATGTATTCCGTACTGGACATATGGAGAACTCATTCTATTTTCTATTCTTGCAAAATGCTTATTTCAAACAATTGACAAATACTTACTGGGTAAACCAACCGTTCTGTGACGATTCTAACACAGGCAGCGACACTCTCGCTCGTTCCTGTGTTTTATCCGGCGAAGAACACGACGCCGTGGCTTATGTTGTGTATTCAGTAATACCCGATATGTCAATTAAGCTTTCGCACTTTCGCCCATCTGCTCCGATCCTATATGTAACTGCCATAAAATCATCAAGCGACTATATATCGATGTATCATAAAATTGTTTTACTCTACTATTGTACACGAGATACTGAAATTTCTCATTCCGAGTACGTTTATCGGAGTCTTCTGTACGGCTTAGCATATCTGAAAGCTAAACGTATCGTATCGAAGGATAAGAATGTTATGCTAGTCTATTGTACCGAAGAGGGCACAAAATTCCCAGATAGGTACACAAATTTTAAATTTCCTGCCACAAATTTTGCTCAACTCTTAACAACCGCATTAGATTTTTGAATGATTCGATTATCTTTTTTTTTTTTTGGTATATTTTTAAATGAATTCTGTCTAATAAAATATTTTTGAAAATTTTTTCATACATTATCTGAAACTCTATAAAGCAAAACAAGAAGAGAAGGCGAAAAATTAAGACAAGTACTTATTGTAGGATATTAAACGAATAAGAGAAACAGAGAGAGTTACGATATCTGAATAATCCTTTAGATATGAAGAGCTAAATAGGTAGGAATAGTTAACACTTGATTTTTGCAAAAGATTTTTCTAATCGACGTTACATGACGTGCATGAGGCCACAAAACCCATTAACTAAATAAGAGCTAACTTCTTACACTTACCAAATGGTATCACCTAATGGAACGGAGCAGTAACCAGTGGGCATATATGTTCCCCAGCTTATAGGCAGATGAAACGAAAAGAAAATTTATATTCGCCTTGTGACCTGTCCTTTTTTGCCTACCCTTTTAAACAATTAGATGAAGGACATTTGATCATTTCGACCGTGAGATCAAATTTGCTCTCAACTTTTAAACGGCCAAAGGATATTCTTATACAAAGTTCGATCATAGGCGAAAATTATAATTTTTTACGAGTTTAGTTGCAAAGCATGTGCAACTGTGCATGTGCGTTCGTTTTCGAATTCTGATAGAAGTAAGTAAAGTAAAAACATGTAAAAACACTATGGCGGCCCAACGTTACACATCCTGTACTTTTTCGCTTAATCATATTTTTGGACAGTTCAGAACAAGATGTTATATGGAAAGTGGTCGAAAAAGTGGTTCGATCCGAACTGTTTCCATTTTCAAATTTTATCAAAATATCTCACAAGTTGCGACCTGTAGGTGGAATACAAGAAAGTAAAACAGCCGGACGGTCAGACAAGCTTAAATCCTATAATAAACGATAGATCTACCTCATGTCCTTTTTCTTGTCCCCCCAAGTGATGTAGGGTATAATAAAAAGGGAATCAAGCTTTTTTTTGCAATATTGTGGCAATATTGAGCTGTCAACCTTTACAATCCTAGGCTAACAAACAGACGAGCAACGCAATCAAGGATAATGCTCCATGTTCCATAATGTTCATTCTTCGGCGATCATGGATCGTTTAAGCTATTTTTTCCTTTAGAAGACAATTCTTTCTTTTTTTTTCTTCTTAGAAACGTCAGTAAAATTAGAAAGTCAAACAAGGGGCGTCATTTTTGAGACAAAGGAAGTCTTTGCATTATAGTAAGTGAAATGCATTAACACATTAACCTTATCAGGCATTTTAGTAGAAAGCAACATTTAGTAGAAAGCGGTTACCCGCCTTAAGGAATCAGCAGATCAAAGGAGACTAACTAAATTGGCCCCGATACATGATCTTTATTTTTACTGTTTTCCTTTTTTTTTGCTTAAAATTTTAATAAACCATTCGACAAAAGATTTAAAACTAAATAAATAATATTCAGTAAAAAAAAAAAAAAGACAGAAAATTGACCATAAACGTGTTAACGTAAATAAATATGTCAATGATGATGATACATGAAAAAAAAAAAAAAGAAACTTTTGTATTGATGTACTGACTTAGGCAATGAACTCATTATTAACCAATGTTCTGACCTACTTTTCATAAACGAAAATTGTCCACTCAGTAGCCAACAAAGAAAATAATAATCCATTGAATAAACATTAAAACGAAAAAGCCAACTAAAGCAATATTTGCCGTCGGAAGCAGTTTAAGCGATTAAAACAGAATTCAACTTAATTATAAAATGATATAAAAGCAATTGCTTTAAACATCATTGCAATATAATCAGTCATCTGGTCTACTACTTCAATTCCAAGTTAATCGAATTGTGAATTAATCATTATGAAAACTACTATTGTTTTCCTGCTTACAATCGCTACTATATTCGTCGCAGCAGTGCAAGGTAATGTTGTTGCGGTCGGCACTGGAGTTGGTTCACAAGCTGCAGGCATAGTCGGTGCTCCTTTAATACAAGCGCCACCTTGTCCGAAAAATTACATGTTTACTTGTCAACCGCATATGGCTCCAGTGCCATGTTCTCAGTCGGCTCCCGTTAATTATGGTCCAGTTGGTGCTTACTCGGAAAGTATACCTACTATCATTGCGGTACCCTACGCTGCTGCCTCATATCCGAATGCCTATCAAAGTTACCCGCCAGCCTATCAAGGATATGCAAATAATCACGAACATGGGAATAATTCAAACTGACCGCTAACGAATACAACAAAAAAACAAAAGAAAATATGTGGATAGTGTTGAAAGGATTATTGAATAAACATACATTTTTAACAGAGCAATGAAATTCATTTCAATTTATTTCTTCGCGTTGAACAAACACTCAGAGCTGAAATGGTCTGCAATGTTAACTAATTAATAGTTAATTTTATCGATTTGGTTAGCAACGAATTAAGAAAATATTTAACTCATAGATCCATCCTGCTTTAGGAGCATTAATACGTCGAAGAAAAGGCGTCCAATGAATTTGACTTCATTGTCCAAAAGTTTTACTCCAATACGAAATATGTGTAGTTCAAGAAGCCTGAAAGGCATGTTTCTAAAAACGGATGAGATGCTTTGACTATTTGTAAATGAGTAAAGAAAAATGCAAGCATATCAAGCAAGTAGGAAAGTTGCATTCATTGTGTTAGTGAAAGCGGATTATTGAAGCTAGTGAAAAGGCAGGAAGAGCAAACAGCATGAAAAGTACTTACTTGATTAAATTTGTTTTCCCATAATAATTTCCGCGAACGTGTTTTTAACGTGATAATGCATGGGCCGCATAGTGTACAGCTAAATAAGAGTTTATTACCAATGCGCCTGAATAAACCTATTTTTGCCCATCAGTGGGTATATTAATTCCGTGAACATGCTTGCAGCATGTAGAGAGGTCTTACACATTATATATATATTTTTAAATCTGTCTTTGCCCGTCGATATCCGTTCCTATGTTTTTTTTTTTTGAAACACATTCCAACAGTCGCGGAAATGAGTCTATCCTCTTCAAATTGCACAAAAACATTAAAAGCGAGCGTACGCAGACTGATGTTAAGCGAAACGCTTACATTCCTACATAAATTAAGAATAGCGATCCCATTATCCACAAACTGCAATGTGTATGTAATCATAAAAAATTATGGAATATAGGAACTTCATGTTTTTCGTTTTAATGAGTTTTGTTTCAGGTAAGGCTGAAGACTATAAAATATTTGGCAAAAATTTGCATTTTTTTTGTTCTGCTGAAATTTTTCGTCAGAAGCACAGACAGAGATCCCTTGAGTTCGGCCTCACTGCAAAGCTGCTTCATAAATTCAAAGCTTATTGTACGGCCGATTTAGCTCCATTTGACGAGGGATTCAAAGACCCACTCCGCGCCTATGGTTTTGAATCAATTGAAAATTTAACTCCGAATCAAAAATTCACTTTCTTTGTTGGAAGTCACCAATGGTATCTCATCAACTGCTCAAAATATTTGAATAAGGCTAAGTTAGGAGGCTGCCAGCTTCGCATGGCAGCTGATTAGTTAAGAAAAGCTATCCACTTTTAGTCGCACCTATAGTGAGGGCTCAGTTAATAAATGCGTAGACCACTGGTCGGTGACCGACGAGGATGCGGCCACTCTCTATCTCTTTTTCTTTTTGTTCACTTTCCCCTGACTGTCAGATAATGGGAGGTATCCCGCTTGTGATATCTTATATTAAGAAAAATTACAAGTTATTCGAATAAATCCATGTAATTTCCATAAAGAAATCTTATTATCTTTTATTTACCATATTTTAGTGAAATAAATAAATACATAGCGTTCACGTTCATTTACATATGCTGTACATTTATAAATATTTATTGCTTATCCTTAAGCAATAACATATCCAATGTAAAGCTTGTGATTTATTGAGGAATTTCCATATTTCTCGATGCAAACTAATAAACTGTACTTTTAACGTCGCTTTTTGGTTTTTCTTTACGGTTAGTTAAAATATTTGTATAATGTATACGGTATTCAATAAGTCCCTCGTCGTTTGAGGAGAGTTGCGTACAAAATATTACACGCAATCTGTGGTATTTATGGACAACATGTTACAATAATAAAATTTTGAATATTTTCGATTAAAAAAAAAAAGAAGAAGATTTTGCGAGCGTCATAAAAAGAACAGAAGGTTTAAAAGCCCAAAAAGCTAAAGTGTTGAGGAACGCTTGGGAAATGTACTTTACGTATAGAAAAAAGCGCATATATGTTTATTTAGTTTATTTATTTGTTTTTCTTATGTAAAAAACAATTCTTTTAAAAATTACGTACGCGAATACGAACGATTGTCTTATGAATTTTTCTTCTATTTTTTTAGTATTCTTGCTATGGTCGTTTGGTTTCTAGATATTGCGAAAAATCAGAAAACGCCAAACAACAACAACAACAACAACAGCAGCAGCAACAATAAAAACAACTTGTTGTCTCTGCTCATGTCGCATCCGCTATGTCTGAAGATCAATTTAGTTGAAATTTTTATCTTTAAGATTTCGGTTGTGCGCGTTTTTCAAAAGGAAATTCATTCACCTACGTTTTCTAAACAGATTTTCAAAAAATCAAAAAAATAAAATAAAAAAAAATTTAATTTTAATACAATTTTCAAAAAACATACATAAATATATGTATATGTATATATATATATATATATATATATATTACAAAGTGTATTAGAAATGCATACGATTGCATATAAAATATTTTATACCCTCCGCTCTCGTACGCTCAGTGAGTGGGGTCATAAAGATGTGTGAAGAGATTTATGGTTTTTTACGCACAACTACTTATTATGTATATATATGTGTGTTTGTGTGCATTAAAATATTTAAAACATTTAATTTGAAATATTAAGATTTTTTTTTTAAATATGAAATTACTGGCGAAGCAATGAAACTCAAATAAAAAAAAAAAATAAAAAAAAAAGAAGAAAAGGGGGAAAAAATTGTATTTTTCTCTTATTGCATAATTGCGTATGAATTTATTTATTTATTATTATTATTTTTAATTTAATAAAACAAAATTTAAAATAATTCATTCAATATGAAGAAATTACATTTGGGTAACAAAAATAAAGGCAAACCGTATAAGCAGATTAAAAATAAAAACCGCAGGGTAAGCAAATTTTTAATAAATTGTACGTACATACATATGTATATAAAATCATTAAAATAATACAAAAACAAAAGTTGTTTGATTACTGCTTAGCAGTAAATCTAAAAATTATTGGCCTATCTCTGAATATTGCTGGCCTTTCTGTTTATTTTTATACTCGCACCACTAAGCAGTAAACGTATATTAATATGGTCATTGTATTTGTAACACTTACAAAAAAAAAAAGTAAATCTGAGACTCCGCAAGCACTATACACATTTTTATATTCTTTTGTTACAATTGTGGCAGTTAAGACACAATGTAAGCCTTTCGTTGTAACTGAAGTTTCTTTTTCTAGCTGAAGCTCAAGAAGTTTGATTCTTTTACAAAAATGTTTAAAAAAAAAGTAAGAAAATTCCATTTGATCCTGACCGAATCTTTTATACGCAGCACCATTATCTTAAAAAAGTCTAAACAAAAGGAAAAGAGTAAATATTCATACTCATAAAAAGTGGAAAAAACGTGGAAAGGAAAATTGTTCTCAGGCGTTGTGGGCGTATCCTTTGGCTGGCCTGGATCATTTTCAAATTCCTTTGCACATTTGTAGGCGATTTCGAACGGCAGAATCGTTACTACAAATAACACACAGTTGGGCAGACGGACAGGTGGACAGACGCATAGACAGACCAAGAATTTATATGCTCTATGGGCTATTGCGCTTCTGCTCATTATAAAGAAACCTATAGAGATACTATTCAATTAGGTAGGCGTGGTCAATTTTTCCCCTTGATGTAAAGGTACTAAAGCATCACTTATAGAATATGCTGCAATTTTTGTAGATTTATTTGCTGTAGTTGATGAGTAATGAGCAAAAAAACCAATTTCTTATTCCTTTTGAGAAGCACAGGTGTTCTCAGTTTACGTTGTGCTGTAGATGTGTCCTTCGCCTGATTCGGTCCATTTTTAATATCACCCTGCGTGCAAGAGCTTTCAATGTTTCTGCCAAATTTGAAATCAATAGCTTTGTTTCTGCGACCAGACAGACATTACATACAGGCGCAGGCAGACGGACAGACATGCCTAGATCGCTTCAGAATTTGATACTGATCAAGAATATATAGACTGTGTGGGATTTCTGAAGCTTCCTTCTGGATGTTAAAAAAGTTTTAACAAAATGAATATATCTCTCATGCTTCGATAATGGGTATAAACAATTCTATATATTATTCGTGGGGTATCTGTTAGCCGATTAGTATTTTTCTTGCATCAAATTTTAAGACGGCGCCGTTCTTTAAATTGTTGACTTTTTGGCTTTTCTTCAAGATTTTTCAAAGTTGTACATGTAGACACGCGATTGAAGAGAAACTGTATGAACTTGAAACTTGATTTGTGCCTCGACCCTGTACCTGCTAAAAACTAAAGCTTTCTATTTATTTCGAGGCCTTGGAAGTTGCAAGCTTGGCCAAATGGTAAACAGAAGCTCTTAGAAGTTTTCGCGAAATAATAAAGTTGTTCTTGTTATATGATAGGCATAGCAACGTCACCGCAATCCCTAGCGCTTGATTGATTTTATTATATAAAAAACAACAGAAGATAACTTTTATTCGTTTTAGATTGCACCCCCTTGGATATCTACCACGGTTACTGTTCTAATGGAGCTAGCTTTTTTCAATAAATTATGGCAGTTATACAGTGTATATCATTGCATATGTATATGAAATATAAATATGATATTTCACTGAAAAGGACGGAGCAGATTCGTGAATTAACGATATATGTATTTTTATTTACAATTTATATGGAAAGGATATTTATATTCAATTCCACGAGTTATGATAGTCACCATTGGAAACCAATTTCCATAATCAAAATAATCCTTTGAATCGTTGATTCTAAAAAAAGTTGTGTCATTGTTGTGCTTATGAGTGAAATAATTAACCGAGGGATATATAAATTTCTGAAAACTTTTCGTTATGCATGTCATAAACTGTAATAAATATTTAATGTAATTATTTCGAAAAATTCTTTGTAGTGTTAATAGTAACTCAGATCAACTTTCCCATGGGCCTACAATTAATAAAAAAATAGCGATTTTTATAGAGATAAATCATATAAAATGCAGTCCATAGTAATTATGAAAATGTTTAAATTACCGTAAGTACGTCAGAGTGGTTTAAATTTTATTTTGCCGA